GTCTTAGATCCTTGCATTGCTAAGAAGTCATCAAAGTTAGTCATCACATAATGTGACTGTCACTGTGTACAATGTTCTCCTGGTTCTGCTCACTTCACTCAGAATTAGTTCATACAAGTCTTCCCAGGTTTTTCTGAAGTCTGCCTGCTCATCATTTCTTATAGCATAATAGTATTCTATTACACTGATATACCACAAACTTGTTCAGCCATTCCCCAACTGATGTACACCCCCTCAATTTCCAGTTCTTTGCCACCAAAGAAAGAGCTGCTGTAAATATTTTTGTACATGTGGGTTCTTTTCCTGTTTGTATGATCTCTTTGGGATACAGACCTAGAAATGGTATTGCTAGGTCAAAAAATATGCACAGTTTTATAGCCCTTTGGACATAGTTCCAAATTGCTCTCCAGAATGGTTGGATCAGTTCACAACTCCACCAACAATGCATTGGTGTTCCAATTCTCCTACAGCTTCTCCAGCATTTATCATTTTCCTGTTTTGTCATGTCAGCCAACCTGATAGATGTGACGTGGTACCTCAGAGTCACTTTGATCTGCATTTCTCTAATCCATAGTGATTTAGAGCATTTTTTGCCTTTTTTTTTTTTGGTGAGGCAATCAGGGTGAAGTGACTTGCCCAGGGTCACACAGCTAGTTAGTGTCAAGTGTTTGGTCTGAGGTCAGATTCGAACTCAGATCCTCCTGACTCCAAGGCTAGAGTTCTATCTACTATGCCACTTAGCTGCGCCTTAGAGCATTTTTTTCAAATGACTATAGATGGCTTTAGTTTCTTCATCTGAAAACTGCCTACTTATATCCTTTCACCATTTATCAATTGGGGAATGACTTATATTCTTATAAATTTGACTTAATTCTCTATGTATTTTAGAAATGAGGTTCTTATCAAGACACTGGTTGTAAAAATTCTTTCTCAGTTTTCTGCTTCTCTCCTAATCTTGGTCACATTGGCTTTATGCAAAAACTTTTTAATTTTATGTAATCAAAGTCATCCATTTTGTATTTTATAATGTTCTCTATCTCTTGTTTGGTCATAAATTCTTCCATTCTCCATAAATCTGCCAAGTAAAGTATTTCTTGCTCTCCCAGTTTGCTTATGGTATCAGTCTTTATATCTAAATCCTGAACCCATTTTAACTTTATTTTGGTATACAATTTAAGATGTTGGCCTATGCCCAGTTTATGCCATACTCATTTCCAGTTTTCCTAGCAGTTTTTTTTTTTGTAAAATAGTGAGTTCTTATCCCAGAAGCTGGAGTCTTTGGGTTTATCAAACAGTAGATTATTATAGTCATTGACTACTGTGTCTTGTGTACCTAACCTATCCCACTGATCCACCACTCTATTTCTCAGCCAGTACCAAGTAGTTTTGATGATTGCTGCTTTATAATACAATTTAAAATCTGGTATGGCCAGGCTACCTTCCCTTGCATTTCTTTTCATTAATTCCCTTGATATTCTGGATCTTTTGTTCTTCCAGATGAATTTTGTTACTATTTTTTCTAGCTCTATAAAATAATTTTTTGGTAGTTTGATTTGTATGGCACTGACTAAGTAAATAAAAGAAATTATTCCTAAATCAAAATTGTTCTACTTCTATGATCTTAAATTCTGAAATTCCCTTTTCATTATAATCTCCTTCCTTTCTTACCATCCTTACCTCACTTTCCTTAAACCTTTCCTTCATCTTCACCATGACTTCCAGTCCTTCTATCCTTTCCTGGTTTGTTTTTCTGTTTGTTTTTTCAAGATATGGTCTCTTTCACTCTCTGAGGCTGGAAATGCCAGAGCTAGTTACTCACAGGCAAAATCTTACTGCTTATCAGCTCTGGAGGTTTGACCAGTTCACCTTTTTTGGCCACCCAGGGGTTCCCTGTTTCTAGGGACTCACTGTCTGAACGCTAAACTTTGTTTGGACACCTGATCAGGATAGCCTACTCACCCAGACACTAATCTGGGCCTTTACATGTTGAGATCATAGGAAGGCACCACCATCTCTCTCTGTTCTTACAGCCTCTTTTTTCCCTTCACAACTTTAACCCTGTCATCTTCTCTTGAATCACTTGCTCCCTTGTCCTGTTGGCACTTAGGCCCTGCAAGGCCTCAAGCCTGGCTCACTCCTATCTTCTGCCTTCTCTGACCCTGTACTTTGTTCCTATAAGCTGAGTGTACTACTGAGAGGCAGTATGGCACAGTAGCTAGAAGACTGGATGTGGAGTCAGGAAAACCTGGGTTTGAATTCTGCACCATTCACTTACTAGTTGGGTGACCCAGGGTATGTCTTCTCACCTCTCTGGGCTTTAGTTTCCTCATCTGTTATAATAAGGAGTGGGACTTAATAACCTCTAAGGTACCTTCTACTTCTAAATATGTAAACCTATGAAATTCATATTGTCTGCCCTCAGATCTACACAGAGTTAATTATGTCATGCTTTCTGAAGTGGTTTTAGGACCCAAACCTTCTCCAGCTCAAGCTCCCGAAGCCTCCCCATCCCTTCTTAGTAAATAACTTGCCTTCTGCTTTTATTGAGAAAGTTCAAGCCCATCTACCTAAGCTCCTTTATCTTCCCTATTTCATATCTCAAAATCTCTCTACAACTCCACTTGACTCTTCCATTACTGCAGCCTCAGAGATGTCCTTGTGTTACTGCAAGGCCCTCTCCTTGTGCCCTTGCCTCCATCTTTCTCCTGTCACCTTTGAGAGTTTTTCCTATGGATCATTCCCTTCTCATCTTCCGTCTCTATCTGTCTCCTGGCTTCTTCCCTCTGGCCTGAACACACTTTGGTCTTCTACTTGACCCTGCTATCTCCTCAAGCTATTGTCCTTTCTCTTTCCTCACTGTTTATTTTCAGAAGTTCGTTATAACTCTTTGCCTTCACTTACCTCATTACTTACAGATTTCTCAACTCCTTGTAATCTGCCTTATCTCTCTCTCCATTCTAAAGTCAGAAAAGTAATCAGAGAGCTCTTCATTGATAAATACAAAGGCTTTGTCTTGTTGGACTTTGGCTTTGTTGAGGCCAGCAGCTGCTGCCTCCTCCTGGCCACTTTCTTGTTCCAGGGCTTCTACGACATTCCTCCAGGTTCTGCTGCTGGTCATCTCCTATTTGGGATTTTTCTTTGCATCCCCAATGCACAGTGCCCTGAACACAGGAGGTGCTTAATGTTATTTAAATTGAACACCAAACCATTAAAAAAAAAAGGCAGCAGAACAATATGCACAAGTGTCAGGTGAATGACACAGATGTCGAGGATGGTTGAGAAAGTTAAATGGTTGGAAAAGCTCTCCAAGAGGAGGTGAGACTGGAGCTGAGTATTGGAGGGCTGACCAGCCAAACCTGGACAGAAAGGAGGGTGTGAGATGGAGTGTGGGGGGAAAGAGCCTGGGACATTAAGGGCAAAGTTAGTACAGAAACCTAGATGTAACAGGTATAATCATTCTCTTTTTTTTAATTTTTTTTTTTAGACAATTGGGGTTAAGTGACTTGCCCAGGGTCACATAGCTAGTAAGTGTGAAGTGTTTGGTCTGAGGCCGGATTTGAACTCAGGTCCTCCTGACTTCAGGGCCGGTGGTATAATCATTCTTGTGAGGAATTAGTAGGAGGTGAGAAATGTTGGCTGGGGTCAGGGTCTTGGGGCATCTTCAGCACCAGGCTAAGGAGTGTGGACCGAGAGTTTGTGAAGATGATGGAAAGCTCGTCAGTGTTTTTGTGTAATCTGCGAGTTTAAAAGGAGTCTGAGTGGTTCTTAGTCGTATTTCCCCATTTCTAGATATCACCATGTCAGCCATCTTAGAGAACAAAGAGCAGTGCCTACAGCCTTACTCAGAAACTCATCCCCAGATCCGAGCTTTATTGTCACAGAGTTCTTCCTTTATTGTGAAATCTAAGTCTCTTCTGCTACAGTTCAAATAGGTTTCCCCTGATGGATGTGAAGCACCATTTGTAAGTTTCCAAACACTTATAATAACCAGTGATTGCTGTCCTGATTTTTTTTTTGAGGCAGTGGCATTCAATGACTTGTCCAGGGTCACACAGCTAGTAAGTATCTGAGGTCAGATTTGAACTCAGGTCCTCCTGACTCCAGGGCCAATGCTCTATCCACCATGCCATCAAGCTGCCCCTCTCTTGCTTTTTCTATGATGCTTTCTGGGAACTGCTTAGTCACTGGGGAAAGCAGTCTTAGAGCAAATGTACTCTAAGAAGGAAACTGTCTTTAAGTAGTGTATTTCAGTCTCTGCAGCTGAGAAGCAGTAAACATTTCAAGTCCTTGAATGCAATAAGGGGCCCAAGTCTCCAGAAGCTTGGCCTTCTCCTTGCCTTCCCTGCTGCACTGACTCACCTCAGTTCTGTTGCCCAGAGGTAAGCAGACTAGAACAGGATGAGCATGTCCATAGTCAGAAGCCCAGTCTCCACCATCCTGTCTTAGTGCCTTACTAAGTCCTGCTGGAACTTTCTAGAATTAAAATAAAGCTCATTTTCACTCCAAGGCTCCTTGGGTGAACCTCAGAATTCTACAGTCTTTATAACAAGTACTTAGGAAATACCACAGGATTGACACTAAGGGCATGGGTCTTACAATCTAAGAATTCTTCTGTTTTATCTTTCCTGGTTTCAGCTTGCACTGATAGACAGGACAAGGAAACAACTCATTTCTTTCTTTGGCTGGTTATCTAATCTTAAACTAGAATGCCCAGCAACTGAAAGGCTTAGTACTTCTTCCTATAAAAATAGGTCTTGATTATTCTTGCTATTTTACAGATGAGGAAACTGAGGCACACAAAGACTCAGAGACCCAAGGTTGTCAGGTGAATCAGCTGACTTGGGTCACAGAATATATAACGTCATGGGTTGCTTCTGTATGTCGTTTCTCAACTGGCCACTGTTGTGGCTGGAGGCCTCCTGATTGGGGCCAAGATTTATAGTATATTTTCTTGGGAAGTCTGATCAGTGATTCACTGGATGTCTTTCCTTTTAACACAGAATTAAGCAAAGGATTTTTCCTTCCCCTCCCCAGCCGGGAATTAAAGGATCCACTAACAAGTGCTTCTGTGGGCCAAGCCAGCAATCCAGCTGATCAGGAGCTAGACACTTTCCCCCTGGGGACCCAGGTAATGTGTTCACCTTCTTACTATTCTAACATATCAATCAATGCAAGCTAATAATACTGATAATTTTCAAATATCTATGAAGAAGCTGAGAGAACTTGTATAAATGAATCATTTTTATCAGACGTTTATTTCTAAAAGCACTTCATGTGAAACTGAAGTGGCTACAAGCTCAAATGAGTTAGCGTGATGTGGCTGCCAAGAGAGACAATACGGTCATAAGCTGCCTTAATAGAAACCTGCATCCCACGATATGCTACCCCAGTCAGATCGCCTCCAGAGTTTAGCTCTGACCACCACACTGTAAGAGGGATGTTGTTAAGTTGTGTGCATCCAGGACGTGGAGGGGCCTCAAAATCATGGCCTGAGAGGAATTGTGGGGAAAAAACTTGAGGTATTTAACCTAGGAAAGGTATAATAGCCTTAAGCTGGGAACATGATAGCTTTCTTTATATAGTTATAGGACTATCGTGTATGCAGAGTGATGCAAGAAGATAGAAAAGGCCAAGATTGATTCAATATAAGAACTTCCTAACATTTGGAGCTGTCTCAAACTAGAATAGATTGCCTCCTGAGATAGTTACTTCCCTAGAGGTCTACAAAGCTGGCTGGAGAAGATGTTATAGGAAGAGATTCTTTTAGCCAAGATCCTTCCCAGCTCTTAAGATTGATTCTGTGATTCTTGTAGATGTGAAGGATAGCACCACATCCATTCATTTCAGCCTTTCACCCAGCTAACCTTGCACCAGAGCCACAATCTTCATGCACATAACTAGTACTTTTATGTTAGTTCTGTGTCCTACACCTCTAGCCATCTTGCTTTTCACCTCACCTCCACTTCTTTTCAATTCCAGTCTTCTATGTCCCCATAATAAAAACTATTCTTACTCTTTCTGTAATGGAGCAGAGAAAGAGGAAAAGGGAAAGGGTTTTTTTGTGTGTGTGTTTTTTGTTTGTTTGTTTTTGTTTTTCAGCCAGAAGCTACTTTAGAGTTCATCTAGTCTCATTTTACAGATAGGGAAACAAATTCAAAGAGAAGGGACCTGCCCAGGGTCACTCAACCAGTTGGTGGCAGAGCTGGGACAAAGGCCAAGGCCTCCTGGCAGTCCTGCTTCCATTACACCACACTGCCTTTTGTGGGTATGCCCTTTTTGCCACCCCACCAAATTGACTCAGTCTCTTCAGAGAAGAGAGGAGCCTGATGAGATAGGTGTGTTCATGGGTACTTTAGTTGGAGACAGGGCTGGTGTATCCCCAAGAAAACAAGATCTGTTTTCTTCTGCTTTACCACCACAGGGGAAAGAAGGGAGTAGCGTGAGTTTTCCATTTTAGAGTGGGGAAAATCAAGTCTTTCCCAGCAGTGACTATAGTTCTTTAAGAAACAGACCTGGTTGCAGGGCTTCCTCCATCTGGAGGAGGCCAATGAGCTCTCTCATTCCACTTTTTAAGTGTTAACCCAGCCAGTCATAGACCCTGAAGGTAGGAGGGTCTAGGAACCATATTACCCCAGAATAGAGGTGACTTCATATTTATTGGGAGGCAAAAGGCAGTGAACAAAGAGATAGGGGGGAAAGTTACTGGTTTTCTTTTGACTTTAAAATCTGGATGGTGGGGTGTGAGGAGGCTATCATTAGGTGATTTGCATGAGTGAATATGGTAGAAGGAGCAGTGTTTGCTGATGTGGGTTTAAAATTCCCTCTTTGTTTACACTCCCTCAGGTAGAGGTGTTGATGATCTGAATGGTCAACTCCTGATGAATCAAAAATTGACTGTAATAGTAGTATTTTTTTCTCATTTTGGGGATGGCATCTCATTGGATTTAGAGCTGGATGGGACTTTAAAGATCATTTAGTTAAACTTCCTTATTTTATGGATGAGGATATAGAGGACCAGAGAGGTTAAATGACTTATCCAAGGTCACACAGATAGTAGAGGTAGCGGAGCTGGGATTTAAACTCAAGACCTCTGACCTGAAAGCCAGTGGTCCTTCCTTCAATAACAAACGATTTTCTTATTGGTAGATAGAAAAGCACGAATTTGATGCCATCTCTGAGGCAATCTTTGAAGGTTTTAATTGGGACCCCTGGAAAATGCCTTTGACATTTGTTTTACCTTTGAATTGACTTTGTATTGAGAAATTGACATAATGGACTTTACAATCTTCACTTTAGAATCTAATTTCAATTTTGAAGTCAGAGTTAGAACTTGAATCAGAAGGGAGGGAACAGGAAGGAATTAAATTTGTAGTTTGTAATATTATTTCAAATTGAGAAATAAATTCGGATGTTGAGTTTATCCACCATCCATCCATAGGAAGCCATGTGCTTTCAGATCCTCCTAAAAAGAAACAGATTGGTATCCCAACCTTATCCTGCCTCACTTCAGTCCCTTCAATCGACCTCAATATAATTTTAATCAACTTTAGCTGATGATAAAATTGATATGTGTCCCCCTGTTTTTTGAGTCAGAGAAGCATTTCATATCTCACCTCTATGCTAAAGTATTCAAAGCAAAGATTATACAGTATTTCACAGCTTTCTCTAAAACATCCTTGTCTTTTCTAATACTGTTTGACTTATTAAAAGACTCTTTGTCTTCACTAAAACAATTCTTTTAACTTCCTTGTGGTCTTGGAACAAGACCTAATGTATGCAATGTATGCACTTTGTAGTCTCTTGCGTTCTGTCTCCTTCCATTTTTTGTATTTACCTTCTCAAATATTTTTCAGCTACAGGAAGTGGCAAGAAGGGAGCTGCCAGGTGATGGTCACCAGGAAGATGGTAAATATTTTGCGTTCAGAGTCCACATTTTCATGAAGTTAGGGAAGAATTGGACGATGGTTCTCAATCCTAAGTGCCTACATTGGCAACCCTTTTGTGGGGGATTATCACCAGTACACAGGGTAGTGACCTATGTTGTTTTCCTTCTTTAAGACTGAATATTAAAAAAAAAAAAAGACTGAATATTTCAGGGCAGCTAGGTGGTGCAGTGGATGGAGCATTGGCCCTGGAATCAGGAGGACCTGAGTTTAAATCTGGCCTCAAACACCTAACACTTACTAGCTGTGTGACTCTGGGCAAGTCACTTAACCCTGATAGCCTTGCCAAAAAAAGGAAATCCTAAAAAAAAAAATACAGTATTTCTAATCTAATGTCCGTGGTTATATTTAGATTTTTGTTATTTATTTATTCAAAAACATTGTCTCCTATATGTAATGAATGCATTATATTTGAAACTATGTGATACAAAGATAAATAAGAAAAATTTCAGGGCAGCTAGGTGGCAGGGGTAGCTAGGTGGTGCAGTAGATAGAGCACCAGCCCTGAATTCAAGAGGACCTGAGTTCAAATCCAGCCTCAGTCACATAACACCTACTAGCTGTGTGACCCTGGCAGGTCACTTAACCCCATTGCCTAGCCAAAAAAAAAAGAAAAAATTTCCTTTTTTAATTGAAATGTACCATAATTTTGTGACTTTCTTGTATTCTATGCTGGGAATTTATTAATAAGTTCAAATATAATATTTGCTGAATAATATTTGCCTCAAAGTATCTACTTCCAGTGGTTTGGGTTCCATTTTCAACATTCAGCACGTCTAACTCAGTTGTTGCATCTTCTGTGTTTGCTAAAGATATCTTTTGAAAATGTCCAGCTGAGCAGAGGCTGTATCTGTTGTGTTGTTATGGCCTTGAAAGGGTGTTGTCACTGTTGGTCCTAGCTTTGATTTGTAGAGGAAAGCCACAGCTCTCTTGAGAGAGAATCTTTCTAAGGCTGGGCAAATGGGATACTCTAGGCCTGGGTTTCCCACCAGAGATGACAGAGGAGATATGATGATGTAGGAGGAAAAGGGCATGATTTGGAATCAGGAGACCTGAGTTTGAATCATGCTTCTAACACTTTTTATGTGGAATTATGGGTAAATCATTTAATCTCTCCAAGCTCAGTGGCCTCACCCATAAGATGAGGATGATGACATTGGTACAGTCCGTCTCACAGGATTGTTGTGAGAGAAGAACTTTCTACCACCCCTTCAACTTCTCATCCCAAAGAGTCCAGTTTGACCCAAGGAAGTTCCTGATAAATAGAAATTGGTTCCTATCTGACCTGTGGCAGGTTCTTTACTTGGGCTTACCATGGTAAGCAGTAGTGTAGGAGACCTGGGTGTGAATTCTAGTTCTGCCACTTAACTAACTTGTTCTGTCATTGAATGAGTCACTTCCCTTCTCTCAGTCTCTCTCCTTTTCAGTAAAATGGAATAAGGGGATAAAGATTGGACAAGATGACCTCTATACTCCCTTCCATCTCTTAATATTCTATGATTATAATACCTTTTGTTAAAAACCTCAATTTCCTCATCTGTAAAATGAGGGGGGGTCATCCTAGATGATCTCTAAGGGCCCTTTCAGCTCAAAATCTTATGATCCTCTGATTTGTGAGTTCTTTGATTTTATTCCCTTCTATCTAAACCACCCTAACTGATAGCCTTCTCTGATAGAGAGGAAATGTGTCCCAGGCACAGTGATATCCCTGTGACTAATGAGATATTCTCATTCCTGTTTTTCTTTCCTTTGCCATGGTTGTATTCTGTTAGAATTCAGATGCTACACATCTCTTCAATCTTCAGTCCGGTCTCCAGACAAGATGGCTAAAGAAGGATACCGACTAACCTTTTCAGATGATAAATCTTTAGGTTCTTCTCCAGAGAAAGAGTTGATACCAAAGACTGATATTTATCAACTTAGCCATGAAGCCTTGTCAAGTAAACGCTTAGATGTGGGTGATTCAAGCCAGATTCATCCCTACCAGTTACCTAAAGATATTAGTCTAGATAATTATAACAGTCACTATCCTCACTCCATAACCTTACATGGAAGTTTCAGCAAGAAATCCCATACTCATCATAGAAGTAAAAATTACCAAGACTGTGGTACAAAATCTTTGAATGATGCAAAGTCCACTTCATCCCACTCCTGTGGAGACATAATGACTCCTTTGACTGACTCAGACTCCACCACTGGAAGACTGCTGAAGCTCAATTCAGGTAACAAGGCATTTGATTTGTTATGTTGTTGGTTTTCAAAGGAGGGAAGGTGGTGATCTACAGCAAGGAAATTTTGAGTCTCTAGACTAACATATCTTGAGTTGTGATAAAGGGATCATCAGTGATCTATGTAGAATCCCTAGCTTAGAATGAGTGTGAATTGATACATAATATGGTAATAGAGAAGTAGTTTTCATTGTTGAAATTTGGGTTTCATAATCATATCATATTGTAGTTCACCAAGTAAAATCCTAGTAAGTCACGCTAGCAGCTTTCTAGTAATCCTGGGTCTTCAGAGATGGTGACTGCCAAGTGTAAGTAAATTCTAGCTGGGCCTATCAAGCTATGGGTATATGTATGTGCACACCACACACACACACACACACACACACACACACACACACACACACACACACACACACACACATTGGTCATCTGAGAACCAAACTGGCTGAGGGTGAGGGTCATCACCAGCAAATTGTCCATAACAATGGACCCTGAGTTCAAGAACAAGCTAGTTGTAGAATAAGTAATGGATCCTGCTCCAGAGAGTTTTCATTTTCTGGCACATTCCTTCCACAGATCTGTATACCACAAGCCATTTTAGCAGTGATTCAACTCTGCTGGACAGCATTGAACAGCAGTTATCTGTGGGCCTTGCTGATTTAACACAAGTACATGGCTCTTTCACAAGTAGTACTACTGTGGGAAACTCTCCACGGACATTCCTGTTACCTTCAGGGACTCAAGAAGACAGGGGACTTTTGGCAAAGAGGTCCATAAGCCCAACTAGAAGGGGATTTAAGAGGAAGGACAATATTCTTTCGAGCATGGTGCCAAATCATGGGCTCAAAGATGTTACCAACAATGAGGCAAGTGTTTGTTTGTGCTCTTAATAAAAACTACATTAGGACTGTGTTTCTTCTTATGGGGATAAATTCCTAAATAGTGTAATCAGAAACACACAGATGACTTTGAAGGCAGAAGTTAAGGAGGAAAGGCCAAAGCTTAGGATTTTTCCTGTGGTCTCTGTGCCTCATGTAGCTCATTCTTCCTTATAGTGGAGTGAATTCTACCTACTCTTCCACTACAGATGTGAGAGAGACAACGCAGTGGGGAAGCCACTTTGGGGCTGGACTTAGAGAGCACTAGATTTAAAGTCAGAAGACCTGGGTGGGTTCAGATCCCAGCTTTGTTACTAACTTACTACCTGTGGGAACTTGGGAAAATCACTTCTCTTACCTGTGCTTCAATTTCCTTAGCTGTAAAATGAAGGAGTTAGGTTGGAGCAGTTGCATCAAACTCAAAATAGAAATTAGGGAGGTAGGGGACACTAAACTGTACATAAGGATCCTATAGGTGCATATTGACTTAGAAAAACACATACTAATGTTACCCATATTCTATTGCATTTTTGTTTATTTTGTTAAAATCTTCCCATTTACAGTTTAATCTGGTTCTGGTTGCATTATACCCACAGGCTGTATGTTTGACACTTGTAATTAGAAGGGGATCCAGAAATAACAGAAGCTTCCAGAGGCTTCCAAAATTACAATACTGTACTAATATCTACATGTGAATATACCTATACTTTTGTTTGTGGCACAAATAAATAATCTGTGATGTACTTTGGTGGTAACTCAACAAAAATAGCACTGTTCTTCCTAATAATCTCACTAATATGGTATTTTAAGCATAGACAAGCAGGAATAAGTATGGTCAATGATCCATAGGCTTATGTATTCATCAAATGTTTTAAGATTGAAAATTTGAAAATTACTGTATAATTATAATCAAGATCAGCATAAATTGTTTGTAGGAATGGTTGAATCTGTATTTTGGTTTGTGCAGCAAAACCTCATCAGTGTTTCAACTCAGAATTATTTGATCATTCTTTATCAATCAGCATGTGTGATTATTGTTGAGTAAAATGTTCTAAATAAGTGTGGCGGTAAATTTTTCTGTGTTAGACAAATTTGTTCAATTTAATTCAATCCATGGATAAAGCCCCCATTGAATTGACTCTTTTTGGCTTCAGTCTTGCTATCTCTAGGCTAGTCTTCATGTGGCTGCCAGCATTTCTTTCTACAGCACATATATTCCCATGCCACTCCTCTTCTCAGAAGTCTTCAGTGGGTAAAATGCAAACTTTTTAGCTTGACATTTAAGGCCTTCCAAGCCTCACTCCCAACCTATCTTTGGAGCCTCGTTTCATGTTACTCCCACTTTTTGTTCCTTTAAAACTGTAATTCGACATAGCTGAATTTGACGTGCCTTCTCTCATTTAGAATGGGTTTAAATTCAGTCCCTGTCACTTGTGCCTCAGTTTCCTTATCTGTACAATGAAGGGCTTGACTGGATGGTTTCTAAGTTCCACTCCATCTTCAAATCTATAATCTTCTGACCTTTGTGCCTTTGTTCATGCCAGCCTCCATACAGGGATAGATACTCCCTCTGTCTCTGCCTTTCAGAACTCTTCTCTTCCAGATCTGGTTCACATGCCACTATCCTTGTAACTCTTCTTTGATTCTCACCAGCTTCTTTAGCAGTTTCTCCTTGTTCACATTTTCTTCAGAGCACTTTCTGGCTTCTTTTTTGCCTCTCTCAGTTTCTACCTTCTCTAGTACTTATCTGTTTATGAGTCACATTCCACATGTAGACTGTGATTGGAAGCTCCTGGCACAGGGCAGGCAGTGGATCATTTTAATCGTTTTTTCATCAGCCCCAAGTTCACTTGATCTCCTGTGATAGGCACACAGAAGATAAAAAGAGAGATAAGAGGCAGTCCTTATCCTTCTACAGCTTATTGTCTTCCAGGGGATACATACTCCAATCACTGTAATATAAAAACAGCCCCTGATAAATGCAGAAGAGAAGTAGAGGTCAGAAGGAAGCAAAGATCCTTTCTGGGGATCAAGTAAGTCTACCAGGGCTGGTGTAACTTTAGGGTGCCTTGTTAGTTATATTGAATAGTGTAAGCTGTTATGATATTTTAAATTTAATGTTAGTTTATTATATATGCAGCACTTGAGACAATTTTGAAATCTTGTTATTCAAACTTTTTAATTAAATTAGGCAGGATTTTCTCCTTCCTGTTCTTCCATCCCCATCTTATATTGAATTAGTAAGATTTTACTCTGCTGTCATCAAGTCAAGTCAAGTCAGTTAGCATTTATTAAGCTTCTTACATGCCAGGCCAGTGTGGGGAATAAGGTGAAAGAAGACTAGAAAGGAGCAAGATTGTGAAGAGCTTGAAAAGCTGAACGGAGGATTTTGTGTGTGATCCTGCCTCTGGAGGACTTATGTGGTCAGACCTGCACTTTAGCAAGATCTCTTTGATGGACCCATGTGACCACCCAAAAAGCCATTGTCCGGGTATAAAGTGAGGAGGGCCTGTACCAGGGTGGTAGCAGTATCAGACGAGACAAGGGGTGCTACTCAGAAGATGTTGGAAAGGTAGACTTGATAGGATTTGGCAACCAGTTAGATAGGGGAGGAAGTGAGTTGAGAGTGAGTTGTCTGACACCTCAGCTGTGAATCTAGGAGCCCAGCTGGATGGCGGTCCCCTCCACAGTAATAGGGGAATTAGGAAGAGGAAAGGCACTGAGGGGAAAGATAATGAGTTCAGTTTTGGACATGTTGAGTGGAAGATATCTACTGGACATCTAGTGTAAGATGTGCAATCAGCAATTGGAGATGCAAGACTGGAGTCAGGTGCAAGGTTAGGGCTGGATAAATAGATCCGAGATCAGTTGCAGAGAGATGATTATTGAATCCATGGGAGCTAATGAAAGCACCAAGCAGAATGGGAGGAGAGGAGAGAGGAGGGCCCAGGACAAAGCCCTGGGGAACACCCACTGTTAGCAGGAGAATCCAGCAAAGGAGACTGAGGAGGGCCTGTCAGGCAGTGAAATCTCTCCCTTCCACATCCTTCAAGGCTGATTTTCAGTCCCATCTCTTCCAGTTTTCTCTGAGTGTTCCAGCCCATAGAAATTGCTCTCTTTTCTGAATTCCTGTAGCACTTGTCATTGACACTTATTTGAGCCTCAGTCATATATTGCTCTATATCACGTCCAATTTTTCATGTGTGTTGTGCCTTGACTTCCTGTTAGACCATGCACTCCTCAAGGACAGGAACTGTGACTTCTACTTCCTTGTATCTCCTCACAGTTCGTAGCACTTTCTATAGAAATGGTGCTCATGGATTATTTGCTGAAATAATGAATAAATGTCAGTTCTTCTTGCACCTCTCACTGTAGTGTATGCTAATGTGCAGTCCACGTCATAGATGCAAAATATTGTGTGGGGCACAGGGTGTGGAAGGAGCCCTGGAATTGGAGAGGTGGAGCTGGCTCTGACACTTACTGAGTGACACTCTCCAAATCAGTAACTTCTCAAAATCTATTTCCTCATTGCCATGAGGATAATGACACTGACATTAACTTCTTAGCCAAGGTTATTGTTATAAAAGTGCTTTGTAAAGCTTTAGTTGCCATAAAATGCAATTTTTATCTTATATAATTGTTGTTGGCATTCTATTTAATGATTTTTATAGATATAACAGGTTTAGATATAACAGCTTGTGATTTATAGTTTCAACAAGAATATAGTAGATTGAAAAATTTATGGGGCTGGTCAGTAGGATATTGAACTAAAAAGGTAGATTTTTTTTTTCCCCTGAAAGATACGCAAAGATATTAGTGATAGCAGATACTGAATTGTGTCTTTGTATCTCTCCTGGAAGAATCGATTTGTATGTTTGCCTGAGCTATTGATACTGCAGTGTAACATAATGAATCTTGACTTGAAAAATAAGGCTACAGATTCTGTGGTGATACTACTTTGATCTCTGCCCTTCCTAAGAATGACGTCGGTTGGTGTGCTTTCTTCCTTTCTTGAGCCTCTCTCTAGTGACCTGGGCAGTTTGCGTGGTTTGCAAGGAAACCATAGTCCCCCACCTGCTGCCAGGACTTCCCATGTGGCCAGGGTGCTCCGACAGCTCTTGGACCTAGTAGACAAGCACTGGAACGGCTCGGGGTCCCTGCTTCTCAACAAGAAGTTCCTGGGTGAGTGACTTCTCTCCTTCTCTCACTCCAAGAAGGGCTCTGCTCTGGCTTCTGAGCTGTTCCCCATAGAACTTGCATGCCCACGCACCACAGGCTCTCCCCTCCCTACCCCACATCAGCAGGGGGCTTGAGAAGCTCTAGGGGGGCAAGTGAACTGCAAACCCAGCATGGCTCAACAAGTGGGATATGGCAGCCCCCAATGTTAACCCAGCTTAGGATGCATTAGGCAGGCAGAGGACGAGGGAAGTGGTTGCTTGACACGGCCCAGATCAAACTACATTGGGAGCCTTGCGTTTCATTCTGGGTACCATGTTTTAGGAAAGATACTCCTCTATGAAGGAAGCTGGAGTGGCAGCCAGAGTGGTGAAAGGCCTCAGAGCTCATGCTGAGTGATGGAGGATGGTTTGAGGGGTAACCCAGGTTGTTCAGCCTAGAGAAGGGAAGACTTAGGAGGGAGGATGTGATAGCTGTCCTATAGAAAAAGAATGGGACTCCTTTGTCTCTAGAGAGCACAGCTGGGCGCAGGGTATCCCAGAAAGTCTGGTTGAGCTTTAAGCTTTAACCTCTGACCTCATAGAGGCTTCTGTGAAGAAAAGCTTCCTAACAAGGTGAGCTGTCCAATAGAAGGAAGAGTATGCAGCTCCTAGAAGGGGGAAGCTCCTCTTCACTTGCTTCAGGAAAAGGTTGGATGGCCACTGGCGGGTTCTGTTGTAGACAGGATTCTTGTTTGTAGAACTCAGAAGTTGGGAGGGGTGGGAGAGGCCACCCAGCCCAACCTGTACCTGACCTCCAGTGAAGAGGAGGGAAGCCATTAATTCCTGAGGATTCAGTGAACTCGATTCTATGTTTCAACCTAGAGAAAGCTGCTTTCACAATTTTCACCAATCCTCTTCTGGAACATTGTTGTTAATAGATCTCTGAGTTTCTCTTATTTTTTCCTGTATGAATTTTACCGAATTATAGTGGTGTAGTAGAAAAAAAATTAAAAATCAGAAAAAACAGATGCAACACTAGGCCTACTACTTAATAACTAGTATGATGATAGATAAGTCACAGCAGCTATCTGGTGTAATAGAGAGAGTGTTAAAGTATTAGTGAGAAAGACTCAATTTTAAATCCTGCCCCAGATATTTAATAGCTGTATGACCCTAGGCAAATCAACCTCTCCATGTCTCAGTTTCTTCATCTATAAAATAGCAATAATAATAGTACCTACTTTGCACAGTTGTTGTATTGAATGAGATAACATGCGAAGTACTTGGCAAACTTTGAAGTTCTATATAAATGCTAGCTATTATTACTATTATTGTTGTTACTATTGGTACTCCTCAGTTCTCTTTTATAAAGTGGAGATAATAATGTCTGTACTACCACACAGGGTTGTTGTGATGAAAGTGCTTTGTAAACTTTACAGAGACTTTATATAAATATGAATTATTTATTATACTTTCTGACTTTCTTCACCTATAATATGTTAACTGCTTTGTCTGTCTCACAGGGTGACTGAGAAAATCAAACGATATATATAAAAGCACTTTGTAAAATTCAAAATGCCATATAATTATCAGTTTTTATTATTATCAGGATTTTCCCAAATATTATATAGTATATTCTGTCCTGCTGATATGCTACTTATTCATAAAATAATATTATTTTTCATTCCCAATTCCTAGTTTATATACAAAATCATTAGGTTTGCAAAATGGAGAGAGTTGGTTACAGGGGTCAAATGAGATCATTTGCATAAATGTTAAAGCATTATGCAGATGTTAGTTAGTGTGTTAGCCACTCTCAGAGGATGCTTTAGGACATTTAAAAAAGTACAGTTATCCTGCCCCAGTAGGTCTATTTACTATAAATCTGAGGTATCTTACAAAACACTATAGTTTGTGAAAAACAACAGATAAACTAGAACATTCTTCAAAGAGTTATTTTTATAAATTGACTTTTTAAAAAGTCTTTCCAATTTCCTCTACGATAATCAACTAGCTATATAAACTCAAATAAATCACTTAATCCTTCTAGGCCTTGGGTTACTCCTCTGTGAAAATGAGGAAATTGAAATAAGTTGACCTAAGTTTCCTTCTTTTGGTAAAATTCTCTGGTTTCTTGCAGGACATTTTATTGTTTTGTAAATAGTACTCAAGAAGTGTTCAAAGTTGGGAAAACACTAGGTAAAAATGGGGAATGTGATCATTGAATTTTTCTGTTCTTTCTGATAGCTGAAGGAGGAAGCGCAGGGAAAGGAAAGCTGGTCTCTGCTTTCTTCCCCGTTTTGCACTTTGTTCTGTTTCTATAGGAAGATGTCTATAATGTAATAGAAAGAACACTGACTTTGGAGTCAGAGGGCCCGGGTTCAAATCCCAGTGCTTCTACTTTCTACCTGCTAGTAAGCCAGTAATCAGAGAGCATTCCATATTAGCCTGGGCCCCCAGAGTACTTCCTATATGCATAGAGGCCTTTATTTTTTGTTCTTCTCACTTGGTGGAAAAAGGAAACAGTTCACTGTTTACCAATATTTCCTCCAAGACTTCTTGGAAATATAAGACTAAGTTTTTAAAAGGTGAATAGATATTTGATGACTCTATAAAAGAAATTGTAAGTCAGTGCTACTGTTTGTAGGCCTTATCTGTTTTCCAAATTCCTTCAGGTTCTGCCCGAGATATGCTTCTGAGTTTGGTGGTTCCCAACCTTGCTCCACAGTGAACCCGCTCACTGCCTGAAGAAAGCCTGAAAGCCTCACGGAGAAGAGACCTTGAATTAAAGGATACAGGACAGTTCCCTGGCATCCCAAATGATTTGGTATACTTCCCATCCCTCTTTAGTGCCTTTGTATGAAGTATAGAACATGAAACAGCTCTTTTTTTTTTTAAGTTGGGCAATGGGGGTTAAGTGACTTGCCCAGGGTCACACAGCTAGTAAGTGTTATGTGTCTAAGGCCGGATTTGGACTCAGGCCTTCCTGAATCCAGGGCCGGTGCTCTATCCACTGCACCACCTAGCTGCCCCTATGAAACAGCTCTTTAACCAAAGTTAATCATCACCAGGAAGTCCTAGGAATTCCTATTAAAAGGACATTGAGAAAAGTCAGACCAAATCTCTGATATCAACCTTTCTCAGAGTTACTCGGTGGATGAGGTACATTTGACTTTGAGACGTGTTTAAAATAACAACAACAACAAACCTGAGATAGGGCAGAAAAATCCTCCAGTGGTCAAAGTGAGGGCGTTCAGGGTTGGGGTTGGTGTCTGACGGGAGAAGGAAGATCTCTGAATTCTTCCTGCTCCTGAGGGATCCAGGAGTCCTAATGGCAAGGGAAGTTGTTGATTCTTCAAGCTCTTACCTATAGGTTTGGTTAAGAACCATTTCTAACTCTTCTAGCATTTTCTGCATTGTCTTTTCCTAATGTCAAGGAAACTTCAGTTGTCGTGGGGTTTCTAAGGGTTTTAATTGTAGAAACTTCAGAGATGTGCTTCAGATCGCCATGCTTCCAGACCCAGGATAGGGATGGAAACTCAAATGTCCCATTGCCAGCTCTTGCTTATAACCAGAGGTGTTCGGGCAAGAAACTGAGTAACCACTTGTCAGGGATATTGTAGAGGACAGTAGTAACCATTTGTTTCTGTTTTTGTTTTTAAACCCAAAGGAAGCATTGAAGCAAAAGATGGTCAGGGTACTGGAAGAAAATCTCTTTTTGTCTGAAAAGGTACAACTGTTGGAGGAAAGTGCTTCCAACTCTGGTGTGGGTGGTCACCAGTCTCACAGTTATGGTAAGTTCATCCATATGTTTATGCAGACTCAAATGTATGTGTCTAGATATGCCCCTTCCCCCCCCCCAACCAGCTGCTGCTTTAACTCTTAATAAACCCTAGCATTTAGGAGTCAAAGCAAGTACTGCCTTCCCCTACCCCCACACATTTTATTTCTTAGAGAATTCATCAAGCAGCATTTTCCATGCACAGCACCCTCTCTGTGTAAGGTCCTTTAGTTTTGTATTTATTACAGCTTGATTTCAGAAGGAGACAGTTACTTTTTCAGAGGTAATCTTAGAACTACATGATTCACACAAAACCAATATAATGTAGGGACTCAGGGCCGAACTCACAGATTCAGATCTTTGTCGCCTGCCTGCTATGGGGCCAGACAGAGTATGTAGATTTTTAAATGATGTGTTCTAACTTTATTCTATATCTCAACTAAAATACTGACCCCTTCCAAACTAATGTCCTGTAATGGTAAGCAGCAGAAATACATTAAGATGAGCTAACTCTAGGAAATGTTGAACTAGGTGTGAGTGCACTGGCCATAGCACTGACTAGTAGATAGCCAAGGGCTTACTTAATGTGAATTAAAAGTAAGGGTGTCACAGTACATTTGGGGCAAGTAAGGGAGGACAGGTCCCTTCTGGCTCTAATTCCTAAGATCTATCATCTTGGAGACAGGAGGAGCCCTTAGTTACTAATTAGTCAGATTTGTTAAAATGCTGCCAACCCAGAGTTATTATATTCCTTGTAGATGAATTGCTCCGTAAGAACCAACAGCTGAGTTTACAGGTGGCTTATCTGAATCAGGAACTTAATCAGCTGAAGAAACTAGAGGAGACTGTGTGCCTTCTCCAGGAAAGTCAGAGGTACAGGAGGGCTCCCATGGCTTCTGAAGGAGGAGGGAGGGCCTTTCACTATCTTTTAATAAGACAGCACAGTATTCTGTAAAGAACACTCTCACCCCAGAGCCTAAACTCCCTAAAGGCAGGAACTGTGTGTTTCTTGATCTATACATTTCCAGCACCTAGCATCATAAGGTCTTAAACATGGATAGTAGGTGCTTAATAAATGCTGGTCATTTATTGAAAGAAAGAATAAATGAGGATACCCTGAGATCATGGTTGCATTTCAAAATAAGCTCTTGTGATTGTGATTTAGAAAATACCTTTGGTGAAAATATAGGTGGTAACAGCTCAGATATACCTGTGCAGCACACTAAGATCTCTCTTGCTCCCTCTTTTTGAAATATTAGTAAATATTTCACCTGTCTGAAGTTCCTTCCAGCCTCATCTGAATGAAGAAACCTTGTCAGCACTTAATCAGACTTGTAGGAAGAAAAATGCCCTGCACTAAATCTTTTCCCCACCCTTACCAAGGAAGAAGGTAACAAGTATTTATTAAGCACTTTACAAATATTATCTCAACCATAATGCAGTAAAATTTACATTCAATAAAAAGCCTTGGAAGCATAGATTAAAATTAATTAGAAACTAAATAATCTAATCCTAAAGAATGAGTGGGTCAAAGAACAAATCATAGAAACAATAATTTCATTAAAGATAATGACAACAATAAGACAACATGCCAGAATTTGTGAGATAAGCCAAAGCAATACTTAGGGAAAGTTTATATCTCTAAACACTTAATAAAAAAAGAGAAAGAGCAAATCAATGAATTGGGTATGTAATTTTAAAAACTAGGAGAAGAACAAATTAAAAGTCCCCAATTAAACACCAAAATAGAAATTCTGAAAATTAAGGAGAGATTAATAAAATTGAAAATACAACTACCGAACTGATAAATAAAAATAGGAGCTGGTTTTATGAAAAAACACCGACAAAATAAGCCATTGGTTAATTTGATTAAGAAAAAGAAGAAAACCAAATTACTAGTATCAAAAATGAAAAAAGCGAATATGCCACTAATGAAATAGAAAAAGATGAAATTAAAGCAATTATTAGGAGACATTTTGCTCAATTTCATGTCAGTAAAGCTGATAATCTAAGTGAAATGGGTGAATATTTATAAAAATATAAATTGTCTATTAACACAAGAGGGAATGGAATACTTAAATTACTCAGAGAAAAAGAAATTGAACAAGCTATAAATGAACTCCCTAAGAAAAAAATCTCCAGGACCAGATGGATTTAAAAGTGAATTCTACTAAACATTTAAAAGCAATTAATTCCAATACTATATGAACGATTTGGAAAAATAGGTAAATAAAGAGTTCTACTAAATTCCTTCTATGATACAAATAATGGATTTGATATTTAAATCAGGAAGAACAAAAACAGAAAAAGAAAACTATCAACAAGTTTCCCTAATAAATACTGATGTAAAATTTTTAAAATAAAATACTAGCAAGGAGATTATAGCAAAATATATTACAAAGATCATATACTATGACCAGGTGGAATTTGTACCAGAAATGCAGGACTGATTCAGTATTGACTATATCAATAACAAAATCAACAAAAATCACATGCTTAACTCAATAGATGCAGAAAAAAACTTTTGGCAAAACACAACACTCATTCCTATTAAAAACACTAGACAGTGTAGGAATAAACGGAGCTTTCAATAAAATGATAAATGGTATCTACCTAAAACCAAGAGCAAGCATTATCTATAATAGGGATAAACTTGAAGCTTTCCCAATAAGATCAGGGGTAAAGTAAGGAAGTCCATTATCACTTCTGTTATTCAGTATTGTACTAGAAATGCTAGTTACAGCAATAAGACAAGAAAAAGATATCAAAGGAATAAGATAGGCATAGAGGAAACAATGCTATCACTCTTTGCAGATGATATGATGGTATATTTAGAAAATCAACCAAAACACTAGTTAAAGCAATTAACAATTTTAACAGAGTTGCAGGATATAAAATAAACCCACATAAATCATTAGAGTTTTTCTATATTATCCACAAAGTCCAGCAGAAAGGAACAGAGAAATTCCATTTAAAGTAACTGCAGACAGTATAAAATACTTGAGAGTCAATCTGCCAAGACATATTAAGGAATTATATGAACATAATTACAAAATACTTTTCACACAAATAAAGACAGATTTAAACAACCAGAGAAATCATGGGTAGGTCGAGCCAATATAATAAAAATGACATTTCTACCTAAATTAATTCACTTACTCAAAGAATTATTTTATGGAACTAGAAAAAATAATTAACAGAATTCATCTGGCTAAACAAAAGGTCAAGAATATCAAGGAATCAGTGAAAAAAGATGTGAAAGAAAGAAGCCTAATAGTACCAGATTTCAAATTATATTACAAAGTGGTGATCATTAAAGCAATCTGGAACTGGCTAAGAAATAGAATGGCAGATCAGTGGAATAGATGGAGTACATTATACACGTAGTACGTGACTATAGTAATCTAGTGTTTGGTAAATTCAAAGATCCAAGCTGTGGTGGCAAGGACTCACTATTTACAAAAATTATTAGAAAAACTGGAAAGTAGTTTGGCAGAAACTAGGCACAGATCAACATCTCACACTGTATACCAAGATAAGGTCAAAATAGGTACATGAATTTACACACAAATTAGAGGACCATGGAAAATCTTACCTGTCAAATCTATGGATAAGGGAAGAATTTATAACTGAACAAGAGACAGAGAGAATCATGGGAAGTAAAATGCATAATTTTCACTACATTAAATTAAAAAGATTTTGCACAGATGACTAACTTTGATGACTTAGCTCTTCTCAGCAATACAAGAATCTACGACATCTCCAAAAGTCTCATGATGGGAAATGCTATTTATCTACATCCAGAGAAAGAACAACGGAGTCTGAATACAGATTGAAGCATACTATTTGCTCTTTTTCTGTTTTGTTTTGTTTCTTCTTTCTTGTGAATCCTCCTGTTGTTTGTAATTCTTCTTTAACAACATGACTAATGTGAAAATATGTTTAATAGGAATGTATATGTAGAGCCTATATCAGATTGCATGCTGTCTTGGGGAGGAAGGAGGAGAAGAAGAAAGGGGGAGAAAATTTAAAACTCAAAAGCTTATGGAAGTGAATGTTGAAAACTAAAAATAAATTAATTACTTTTTCGAAAAAAGGTTTTGCACAAAAAAACCCTCTAGTACAGCCAAGATTAGAAGGAAGGTTAGAAAAGGGGGGGGGGACTTTTTAGCAGGTTTCTCTGATAAAGGCCTTGTTCTTCCAATGTATAAGGAACTTAGCCAAATTTATAAAAATAAGAGCCATTCCCCAATTGATAAATGATCAAAGATATAAGTGGGCAGTTTTTAGAAGAAGAAATCAACGCTATCAATAGTCACATAAAAAAGCTCTAAATTTCTATTGATTAGAGAAATACAAATTAAAACAACTCTGAGGTACCACCTCACACTTATCAGAAATGACAAGTGCTGGAGGGATGTGGAAAAATAGGAACACTAATACACTGTTGGGGGAGTTGTGAACCAGCTCAACCAATTTGGAGAACAATTTGGAACTATTCCCAAAGGGCTGTAAAACTCTGTATACCCTTTGATCCAGCAATATCATGACTAGGTCTGTATCTTAAAGAGATACATTATAGTTTAGTGGAAGGAGGGTTGGATTTGTGTTAGAAGAGCTGATTTGAAATCACTTAACCTCTCTGGGCTTCCTTTTCCACTATAAAATGAGGCATTTGAGCTTGATGGCCTTGAAGCAATGACAGATATAGCTCTAAATCCATCCCTGAGCCCATACTCAAAGCTTTTCGAGCTTGAGAGGATCTGAAAACTTAAATTCTTTTGCATAGCTTTTAGGGCACAATCCTGGGGCACCTTTAGGAGACCATGAAGCAAGAGAAGAGGACTTTAGCAGAGGCTAGTTTTGCGGGCATAAATTATGTAATTAATGCTATCTTTCCCTTATAATTCAGGTCCCTTGTAACAACCAATGAGTATCTGCTACAGCAGTTGAATAAAGAACAAAAAAATTATCCAGGAAAAGCAATCCTGCCTCCTGAGAAGAGTCACCACATAGGGAGAACATCACCCTTTGGGAAAACCCTACAGCCTTCCTTATCACAGACAGCTCACGATGGCGGTCAGTATTGTAACCCTGAGTGACCTGGTAGAGAGCTTCCCCAGGGTGGGCAGCTCCAGCAGGGCTGTGTTCACATACTGCTGTCAGTGACTTTCCATCATTAGTTTTTATGGATGATTAAATGGGGTTGGGATGTTTTGTGGTGATTTATTTTTTTTAAAAAAGGTAGTTTTTTTAGACGATTGCAGTTGAAATTTCTATGCCTTCCACTCTCTCCCAACAAGTCAAGTTCTTCATCTACCCCTAGAAATTCAATTTAATTCAACAAATATTAAGAAGTTTCTGTGAGGGGCAGCTAGGTGGCGCAGTAGGTAGAGCACCAGCCCTGGATTCAGGAGGACCTGAGTTCAAATCTGCCTGACACATAATACATACTAGCTGTGTGACCCTGGGCAAGTCACTTCATTGCCTAACCAAAAAAAAAATAAGTTTCTGTGTGTAAGGTGTTGTGCCAGGTGCTTGGTGTAGAAAAGTGAGCTTACACTTTACTGAGTGGGTACAGATGTGCACAACTATATATGATACTGGCACTGAGTGAAGGAGACCAGTGTTAGAGAGGCTTAGGAATGTTTGGAGTGGGGAGAGAACAGGGACCTCTGGGAAACCAAATTTACTAAGGACTCATGACGTGTCAGAGCCTGTGTTGGGTACAGTGACAAAAACATAACAGCACTTGTGATGTGGATGCACCAGGTCAGCATGGCCAGAAGCCAAAGAGAGGTCCGGGAGAGTGAGGCTGGCAGAGGTAGCTGCTGAGATCACTGGTAACCTTTGAAATGTGAAGGAAGGAAAAAGCACCTGCTGCCTAGCTGGTCTCCCTTTGGACCTGGATTAAAAATGAATTTTCAGGAGAAAATTATTTAGAGAGTGTTAGGAAAGGGCGGGATTTTTGCGTTTTTCCATGAGGATGCTCATTTTGGACTGTGTTGTGGGGGCTGGATCCTCTATTGCAGATACAGGAAAAATTCTCTCTCCCAGTTCCTGAATTAATTTGATACTTCACTAGCTTTGAATAATGAAGGAAAGATTAGTGGGAAATGACAGAAATGGAAGAAAAGAGGACATCAGTAAAGCATTCAGGAAAACAGAAGGAGGAGGGCTAACAGCCCCTGTGGCCTGGCCACCCCATCTCTGCTGTTTTAGCCTCTCCCTCTGCAGGGCCTATTGTGCTTCTGCCAGGGATGGGCAGGGACAGAGGAGGGGCCATCTAGAAAGGCTCTGGGGCTCAGGAGGTGCATTAGCTTAACACGGTTTTCATTGTCATTTCCTTACTCTTCAGAGTCAAGGCAAAGAGAGAGCCTCACAGAAGGATTAGAAACTTATATGCTTCGCTGACTCAGAGGCAGCCTGTGGAAGAGAAAGGAAAGCTGTTGCAGGAATGAAGAAGACAGCACCCCAGATACAATGTGTTCAAGTTATAAATAAATCTATGGACAGCTTTGGGCTTTATGCTGAATTGGAATGTCACTTGGGTTCCCAAAGTGATTCAGGGCAGAAGCCAAAGGTTATGTGGTACCTGCAGCAATTGAGACTTCAGTAAGGTCTTCCATTCGTGGTTTGGACTCTGTCAGGAAAACCTTCCCCCAGTTAGAGCTGGCCTGGAGAGGAATAGACGACCATGGGGTATACCAGGTTTACTGTCAGTGGGGGGCTTCAGGCAGCGGCTAGATGACCATTTATTGGGTATGTCATAGAAGGAATTTATGCTTCAAATATGGGGATGGCTTCTAATGTCCCATCTAGCTTTGGAATTTTGTGATTCTGTGGCTTATTGGACAGACTCCTGGCCATAAGGTCGACAGCGGCCTTGTAGTAGACATAGGATGCAAGGGACCTAGTCCAATACCCCTCATTTTTTTTTTGTTTGTTTTTGCTTTTTGGTGAGGCAGTCGGGGTTAAGTGACTTGCCCAGGGTCGCACAGCTAAGTGTCAAGTGTCTGAAGCCGGATTTGAACTCAGGTCCTCCTGACTCCAAGACTGGAGCTCTGTCCACTGTGCCACCTAGCTGTCCCTTAACACCTCTCATTTTATGCTTGAAAAACAGGGCTGGAGGAGTTGAGGGATTGCACTTGGTCAGACAGGTAGCAGGGCTGGCATTTACACCCAGCTCCTCTGATTCTCAGTCCATTACTACTTTCACTGTACCTACAATGCCTCCCATACCTACGCCTCCATCTTAGAGATACTTGACATCCTCGGTTCAGGCACTGGCCATGCTTTTCTCTTTGAACAGTGGGGTTTGGGGCTCAAGCTTCAGCCTTCCTGCTGATTGGCCCTTTCCTAAACTCCACCTGACAGGCTTCCCTGGGAGTAGGCTCACGGGATTTTCCTTCTCTGAATGAGCTGCCACTCTTTGTTCTAGTCCACACTAAACAGGGCTTCGCTGGCTGTGAGCCTGGGACTTCCCGCCTCCGCTAAGAATCAGCCGTTTCTAGTTTTTGAGTATTTCCAAGCAGAGGGACTCATTGCTTCAGGAGGAGCTGTAAGAGCAACTCCAGACTTTCCTCAGAGAAGAGGTTTCTTTCCTTCCAGCAATGCTCAGAGGAGACAGATGAATCAATCCCACGAAGATGTGTTCCTGTCCTAACTCTGCTACGTACTACCTGTGTGCCTAATGCTCTCCCTCGCCGTGCTCCAGTGTCCTCTCATCTAAACATGAGGAAGATTGATTATGGGATGGTGATCTCTGAGGCACCATCCGCCTTTTAAATCCTGTTATCCTACTAATCCTCTTTATGTTATGAAGAGCAGCCATATAAGCGGAGATCAAACACTAAGTGGGAAAGGATTCTAACCATTTCCCATTTGTCGGGGTTTGTAGCAGAGAAGGGGAATACTTACCTGCCAGTGGGGATGCTGGAGCCGGGTGAGAGAAGGCTCTGTGCTGCAGTGGAGACCTGCACTTAGACTCGCACTGCCTGCCCACCTTGGTTAAGGAAAGTGCTTTGGGGGCCTTAAAATGCTATGGAAATGTGAATAATTCTGAGATCTGATTCTCTAGAGAAATCCTGGAATTAGATGAAATGAAGCCCAAGGGGAGAGACGCATTGCAGCTGCCTAGGCTGAACTTTGTCTCCCTAGAGCTACATTTACAAAGCTTGCAACAGCCTTGCCTTACAGACATTCCCTGCCCTGTACTTGCCTGTTTCTGACACAAACCACCTCTCCTTCTACTGGCCTGGCTGAGGGGTGGGATGAGGTAGAAACTGTCACCTCCGAGGGACCTCCCACCTTAACCTTTATTCCAGGAAAGAGATGGAAAGAGCAAGAAAGAACTAGGTTGGCCTCAAGTGACTATGTATCCATCGAAGACTTCCACCCTAGCATACCCAAACCAGCTTGTCTGTTTGGTTGCTGATTTCTTTCCCGGGGACATTGAGAAGCACGGTCCAGAACTGACCGGAGAAAGATGCTGAGCGGAGTTGGGAGCCTTGTGCTAGGACTGATCTTCCTTGGGGTTGGCCTTGCTGTTCACCTAAGGAGTCAGAAAGATTTTGAAGCTAAGTGAAACCTTGGACACTGGGTGGGGAAGAAATGCTGCTGCTTATGGGCTCAGGGCCCTGCAAGTGATTGACCACTGTCTTCTGATAGTCTCCATCTGAACCCTGAAGCTGTGTGTCCCCTGGAGCTGGTGCTTCTCCTCCCAGCGCCTGCCTGTACTAGGAGGTCAGCAGTGCTGACCCTTCCCTGTCTCTGTCTGGACTCTCCACGCATTGCCTCTCACTGCACGCCTCCTGTTGGGTTTGACCATCTGCCCACACTGTCTTGGCTGGTGAGGAGGAGGTCTGTGCTTCACCCTCGTAGCATGTTGCTGAATGCACATTTTGGGCATTTGTAATCCCTTGAGTCATTTCTCCAGTAAATCAGAAGGGGGGATTCCCCTGGTGTTGGGCAATGAGGAAATAGCAGAAGTGGGGAGAGGGAAGAAACTTCAATATTACCATGCATCTGTGGCGTCCGTGTGATTAATCCCTCCAAAGGTGCAGATCACACGCAGCCCCTCTAAGCCTTGTCATCCTATGTGACTTGTGCTTGTCCTCCCATAAATCCTTCGTCGAGGTCTACCCAGTGTGCTAGTCGCCTTGCTATAAATGGCTTTCGTGTGGTGGCACTGGATCACAGAAGTATCCACTGATCATCCCTTACAGTCTTTGCAGGATAGACTCACTTCCTTTTTTGGTCACACATCTCTGATGATATCCTTTATGCTCATTCTCCCCGAGTTCTTTAAAATTGGCAATATGCTAGAACCTACACACACACACACACACACACACACACACACAGAAACACATCCGTGGTGTGCCTCAGTATCACCCTCTTTTCAATTAAAGTTTTATTGATATACATTGCTTTCCCTTCCTTTTTATTCACGAATACACTCCCTCCCAACTACCTCTACACACTGAGGCTTCACATGTATCAAAGATGAAAAAAACCCAAACAGTTGTAGAAAACCAACCCCGGTCTCATGCATTGTGTTTGACAACCTATGCAGCATTTCAGCCTCATAGTCTCCCATCTCTTGCATATTCTTCTCTATGGCCCAACTTGGTCATTGTGATTACCCTGAGTCTAGTTCCATTTTAGTACTCTTTGTTTTCATTCCTATAGTCCTCATCTCTTTTGTTTTCCTAGTTCTGCATCAATTCATATAAATGCTCCTATTTTTCTCTAAATTCCTCATTTCTCTCATTTTATCATATTAATATTCCAGTACATATGTGGTCTTCAATATGTTTAGGTACTCCCAAACTGATGAGTACCTAATTTCTTTTTAGTTCTTTGCTACCACAAAAAATTTACTATAAATATTTGATATCTAAAAAAAAAAAAAGAACCAGGTTCAGAGGATCCTTCCAACACCACTGTTGAGAGCTGCCCTGTGTGGCTAAGACATTCCTTATCTGGCCCTCCAGTCTCTTCTCCATCTCCCTCAGCCTTGACAGGAGAGGCCAATGTAGGAAGTGGTCCAAGAGGGTCCCTAGGCCACATTTCTGTTTCTCTCTTCTCTGGCTCAGTGCCCCTTGTGGAAGGAAGAGGACATGCTAGGTGACCCATACACTTGACAAAGGCACATCACCACCTCCCACCATCTTCCACCTCACACTTTGGCCAATACCTCTTCTTAAGTCTACCACAACCACCTCACTAAAGCATTGAAGAAAGTAGCAGAACATTCTGCCTTGCATCTCAACTCCTCATTGTCCTGTCTGCTTTGTTCTGATGTCTTCTTGGGCCAGTCCTCCAGATAGGTGATCCCCAGGGGTCTTGGGTGCTGTTAAGTCAGGTCCCCAGGATGTTCACAGCACACTTCTCTCAGCCTCCTCTTCATCATACCAAAAGCCCCCTGCTGACATTTCAGTTCTACGATTTGATAGTCAATTAATTCATAGTCACAGCTCTTGTGCCTGGTAGGGAGGGAAGGGAATAAACATTTATATATCACATATTACATGCCAAAAACTTTTTTTTTAAACAAATATTTAAGAAAACAACATGAAACAAAGGTGCTTTTTATACCCATTTTATGGTTGAGGAAACTAAGGCAAACAAGTTAAATGATTTACCCAGGGTCACACAGCTTTGTGTCTGAGGCTGATTTGAACCCAGGATCTCCTGATTCTAGGCCCAGCATTCTGGGCACTATGTTACTAGTTGCCTCTGCTTAAACAGCACTCTACAATAGTGATGAGACTCCTACAGCATTAGCACAGAATGAGAGCCATAGTGAATTAAATGAACATTGAAGTAGCAGTTTTGTTCAGAAGGGAGTACAGTAGGAACAACAAAACAAATTTTTACAAAACGCTTCAAACTATCTAAGCTGCCCCAAGCCAACTTTTAAAAATCTACACTAAAAAATTCCCAGGACAAAAACTCGCACCTGCCACAGGCGCCATGGGCATCGGAGGAAGGGCACTAGGCTATCCATCAAACTCCCCGTGCCTCTAAGCAGAGCTGACCGTCAGCCCTCCCTGGGTGGTATTTGCTGCCTTCTATTGCTCGGGGCGGGGTGGGGGTGGGGGTGTATTTTAGGTATGAGTTCTCCAAATCTCTCACCTTATTCCCCACTCTCCAACTGTTCAGATCCCCATTCACCCTTTGCATCAGTTGCCAAGCATTTATGCAGCACTGACACTGCTGTATGCTCCGGAAATACAAAGACAAAAATCAAAGTCCGCATCCTAGATAGCTTATATTCTACCCGGGAAACAGCATGCATACAAATAGGTATATGCAAAATAAATTCAAGGGGAATAGGCCGGGTGGGCAGTGAGGTACCAGCAACTGGAAGCCGCAGAGTTTCGTGTAGGGCCAGTCCGAGCTGAGCAGTAAAAACTCGGGGCTCTGAGAAGTGGAGGTGAAGAGGGGTGGCGGGGAGACAGGCTTTGTTGGTGATGCACGATTGAAGACGAAGAGAAATGTTGAAGCCGCAATTAAATTGGAGAATCATCTGCCTAGAGATGAGCATTGAACCCAAGAGAGCCAATGAAATCACCCAAGGAAAACAGTGTAAAGAGGTCTGAGGACCAAGATGGATGGATCAGAGAAACATACCGTAATTCCCATGCCTCAGGCTCTGTGCTAAACACGCGGATACAGAACCGAGCACACCAGACGGTCCTCGTTCTTAACGAGCGCCCTTTGTAACTGGAGAGCGGAGGAGGAGGTAGAGAGGAGCGATTGCCCTCAGAGGGCCACGGCTGTGGCCGAGAAGACAGGACAGTCAGTCACCAGGGGCGAAGTGTCTCAAGGGCTCCGGAAATGGATGGCGATCCAGGAGGGAACACCGAGAAGGCTGGCAGAGATGAGAATCAGAAATGAAGCTGAGTCACAGAGAAGAAAGGAGGAAAAAGCATCCAGCTAGAGAGGGTCAGCTATGTCAGAAGTCGCAAGAGAGGTCATCCACTGAATTTAGCAGTAAGAGGTGCTAGGAACCTGTGACCGCAATTTCGACAGAGCCGAGTAGGATTCTAGTTTAAGGAGTGACTGGCGAAGGAGGCAGGGCAGGCATATGAAAGAAGCGAAGAGGCAACAATAGCTTAAGAAAAGGAGTCAAGGGGGAGCTTGTTTAAGGGGAGAGAGGGACGGAGAGAAGACAGCAGGCGGGTATCTCTTGAAAACTTAGCCCCACTTGCCGAAAGGAGGGACCGGTAGGTTATGAGCCCCGAGGCAGCCCGTCTGCATTAGGGAGTTGAGCACTTAGAAGTAGGAGCCATGGGTCAAAGGTGTGGAGGCAAATGGAGGTTTGACAAAGGGACAGACTTTCTGACAGAGCTATCCAGTAGCGGAAGAGGATGTCTACTGAGATAGCGGGTGGGTCCTCCTCTCTGGTTGTCTTCAAGTAAAGCCTGGGTGACCACTTGTCAGCACAGTGACAGGATGTGCTGGGTGTGCCTAGGCGCACAGTCTTCCCAAAAAAGTGCCTCAACCTGGTCCCCAGAGGTCTTGGGCCGTCTGCATCTTCACCACAGCGTTCTAGGGGAGCCTTGAGGTGTTGGGGGGTGGGGTATTTTCTAATGCTATGATCTCAAGCCTTCCCTCTCCAAGCACCCATTGGCAATATCCTCCCCAGGAGTTAACACCCCAGTTTCATTTAACAATTAACATCAATTAGGAATATTTACTGAAGGACCTAGCTAGAACCAAAGTATAAACACATCCCTCGGAACAAGGGCCACACTCTCCTCTCGGTCTCTTGAGTTGCTGGGGAGGGTAGCGCTCAAACTTATAGCGGTTGCCTCAAAGCATTTGCCCCACCGAGGTCATTTGCAAATGCAGTACGGCTGATAATGTCGAAGGATGGGCTCAGTCCTATTCTATCCTCCGGGCTTGGTGGGCAGCAAACTCTGTCATGGACGCCATGTCCCAGATCTCTGGCTGCTCTCCTGCATTCCCGAAGCTCGCAAGGTTGCAGCCTGTTCTGTTCCCTCTCCGATACGCCTTCACCCAGGACAGGAAGAATTGACATAACAGGAATAGAGGCAACCATAGGGCCAAGCGCTCATAGCTTCGTGTCAACCAGGGTAGGGAGAAGAAACCCCTGGAGCCTGCGCTTTCTCTCCCCTCAGAGGTTACAACTGAGCCGTTCCTGCCTCTTTCAAATGCAGCTAGCGGGAAAGAGAGAGAGGCTCACTTTGGCGAGTTAATGCCATTTAAATGACCATACAGTTTTAGCTCATCAACCAAGCAAAAGCCTGTTGTTCTAGGGTGGGAAGCTGGGACCTTCCTCAGGCAGACTCACCAAGCCTCTCCCACATGGTTGGGCCCCAGGCGGAGCCCACAGGGCTTGCTCTGGGGATGGCCCTCCCATTGGGCAGTCCCGTGTTCCAGATAGAAAGCCCATGTTCGCTGGAAGTGTGAGTCCCCACTACTAGAAGGTGCATCACCATTAGCCCTCCCTTTCCCCTATGACCACCATTTTAGAAAATACTTTGATCTGTTACTGGCTGTAGTCGGAACAGACAAGTTGAATTAGAATCAATGTGCTCATGGCAGTGCATATATCTCAGATGCCTCCATTGAGAATTTCCATGAAAACAAGTAATTCTGAAGGGAAGAAATCCAAGCTATCTATAGCCATATATATTTTAAAAAAAAGTCTCTCCATCACTAATAACTAGACAAATGTAAATAAAAACAACTCTAAAGTTTTACCTCACATTTATTAGATGGGCAAAGTTGACCCAAAAAAAGGGGGGGGAATAAGAAATGATGAAAGGATGTGGAAAAACAGGGACATTGAGGCACTGTTGGTGGAGCATTGGACTGACACCATTATTCTGGAAAGCCGACTGTAACTATGCCTCCAAAGTTACCAAATTCTGAATATCCTTTGACTCACTACCACTGCTAGGTCAAAGAAAGGTAAAGATCTTGCAAGCATTAAAATGTTTATAGCTGCTCTTTTTGTGATGACCAAGAACCGGAAACTAAGGGGGTGCCCATCAATTGGGCAATTTGTTGTTCTTCAGTCACGTCCAACTCTTGGCAAAGATAGTGGAATGGTTGGCCATTTCCTTCTCCAATTCATTTTACAGATGAGGAAACTGAGGCAAACAAGGTTAAATGACTTGCCCAGGATCACAAAGCTAGTAAGTGTCTGAGGCTGGATTTGAACTCAGGAAGATGAATTTTCCTGGCTCCACTGCGCCACCCTAGAATACATTGTGGCATATGAACGTAATGGAACATTGTTATGCTGTAAGAAATAAAGAGGGACAGTTTCAGAGAAAAGTGGGGAGATTTATATGAAATGATGCAGGATGAAGTGAGCAGAACTAGGAAAAAATGTATACTGTAACAGCAGCATTATTAAAAAGAAAAAAGAACAATTTTGAAAGATTTAATAACTGATCAATGCAGTGACCAACCATAATTACATAGGACTGATGAGAGTACCTCCCTTCTGACGGAGGGGTGATTGACAAAATGTGATGCACACTTCTGGATATGGCCAGTATGGGAATTTGCTTTACTTTCCTATGCAAATTTGTTCATAAGGATTTTTTGTCTTTTATTTTTTCAGTGAGGGTAGGCAAGAGAGCAAATGCCTATTAATTGAAAAAAATAAAATTTGATTTAGAAAAGGAACTTGGATAATGATAATGTTGCCACCGCCAATTCCACTGGAAATACAACAAAATGAGTAGTGAGCAACAGAAACAGACTGAGTCTCTCGGGTCAGGTCAGTATGGTTCTTACTCAAAGCCAACAAGCATTCTGTCTGATGACCCAGTCCATGATCATCCAGAGGAGAGGTGACAGCATCAGTCTTGATCATCTAAAGGCCCTTGGGCGTGTTAACATTTATGCCGATCTGGCTTTTATCGGGGCAGCTAGGTGGTACAGTGGATAGTGTGCCTGGCCTGGAGTCAGGAACATTCATCTTCCTGAATTCAAATCCAGCCTCAGACATTTACTAGCTGTGTGACCCTGGGCAAGTCAGTTAGCCCTATTTGCCTCAGTTTTCTCATCTGTAAAGTCATCTGGGGAAAGAAATGGCAAACCACTCCAGGGTCTTTGCCAAGGAAACCCTCAATGGCATCACAGAGTCAGACACACTGAAAAATGAGTGAACAATAACAAAAGCATTTCTGGAGAAAAGATTCAGAAACTGGGCACAGGGCCAAGAAATGTTTTTAAAAGTTTTCTAAACTACCCACTGCCAAAATTTCACATGCTGAGATATTTTTCATAATCAAGTGTTAATAAAAGGAAACCTATTGATGTATTTACTGTTAGATAAGGTAAGGAAGCTTTTCTGTCCATACAAGAATGGTGCCATTGCTAGAGTGCAACAAAGTTCTGGTTTGGGAGACCATCCTGAGATTCATAGTGAAAAAAAGCTGACAGTTTTGAAAAAAGTGTATTTCTAAATCTAGTCACTATGTTCTAAATA